GCCGACCGCCAGAGCAGTAGCTCTGTCACTGACGAGCGACTGCGGGGTGGAGGGCTCGGGGGGCTGGAGAGAGATTTGTTAGAGTTCAAGGTCGGTGCTGCGCGGGACCGCCCCGAGAGCGCCTGGCGTCGCGGCCGCCACCGCCACCGCTGCCAGCCTCCGCCCGGACTTAGCTTCGGTTCTCATTGATTCCCTTAGCAAGGGCGCAGCGGAATCCGGGGCAGCCGCATCAGCCGGCGAACCACAGCATGTTAATCTATTTATATGGATTATTACGGAGGAACAGCGGGCGTTGAGTCACCAAAACATTTGCTTCAAAAGACCATTTCTAAGCACTTTGGAGGCGGGCAGACTCCAGGCCCATAAACTGGGTATGCGTTAAGAATCGGCTACTTTTCGAACACTGCAAACTCCAGCTAAGTCCCTGGTACCGCCGAGAGAACGGTGAAAAAAAAAAAATGACGGGGGTGGGGACAGGTCCTAGTCTAGACACCACACACACACGCACAAACACACACACACGCACGCACGCAAAGATTCGCGCGGGGACAGCACCGAAATTCTGACATTCCGAGAGTGCGGCAAACTTACACACTTGGCCGTCGCGGGTCCCCCGCCTTCCCCACAGCACCCCCCACCCGACCGTCCACCCTTGGGCTGCGCTCCCCTCCCCTCTTCCCTCCCGCCTCGTCACCCAGCCCAGAGCCACAATCCTCCTCCCTCCCAAAATCCAGTCCAATCAGCTGCCTGCCAGCCCTCGGTTAGCCGTGCAGTGATTGGCTGAAGGTCTCTAAGGTGAGGGGGAGTATTTATTAAAGAGACCCTGAGCTCGGAGTTGAAGAGCGGAGAGCGGAGCTCGAAAGTGACTGCGAACTTCTGGGGCGCTGCGACTTGCCAGTTTCACTCCGGGAACTTTGCTTTGCAGAACAGAAGGGGTGCAAGTGACCCCGCTCTTGCGCCCTTTCTTCCCCTCCTCCATCGCTCCAATTCGCCCTCCCCCATTTGGAGTGGGCAGCTGCGGACTGGCCACCCCGCGGCTT